CCTGGTTTCGGCTAGCCTACTGGGTCTTAGTCGGCGGCATCACCCAGGCCAGGTACTCCCCACCAATCCCGCTTGAGAGAGGAATATACGACTAAAGTTACTGCAGTGTCCTGTTCCGGCAAGTCTGCCTGGTCCCAGAATGTCCTTTGCTGAAGCCTCCTGCTCTATGGAAGGGTTCCCGTTCCACTCATTCACCGCAGGTCGATGCAGGGCTCCCTGCCAGTCCCATTCTCAACTCCGTTCGTGGATTCCCACTCTCAGAGTTTTCGCATGTCACTCTCCCTGCTGTGCCGATTTGGACGCAGCAGCAGCAACAGGAAATTCAAATCGCGGCTTCCAATGGTGCGGGATCCAGCTTCCAATGGTGCAGGATCCAGCTTCCGCGCTGAGATTTTATCTGTTCCTGTTATAGCACTGGGATTGTGTTTCCAGTTGGTTTCTCTTAGCTTAGTTCGTTCCTGGGTCGGCAGAGTATATCTCCCCTTGCTTAGGACTCCTCGCACCACCCCATTCCTGGATTCTAAGCGGGGTATCTCAGAGAGCCTCCGTAGCTGCTGCTATCTATCCGCCATGTTCTCCTGGACAGTCCTTTTTTTCTAGGTTATTCAATTTGTTGGCATGTAAATACCATGACTCTTTGTATTTCTATAACATTAATTCTAATATATCCTCTTTCATTTTTTGGTTATTTTCTTAGTCTACCTAAAAATCTGTCACTTTTGTTTAGCTTTTTAAAGAACACTCAGCTCTCATCTTTTCTATTGTAATTCCCCCCTCTATTCGCTAATGTTTTATTTCCTATCTTCTGATACTTTGAATTCTTTTTTTTTTTAGTTCCTCAGTATATAAAGTTTAATTGCGAGACTTTTGGGGGGGGGGGTGCAGGGTTCTCACAGTTTGCTCTACATACGCTGGATTCTCTTTCCTTAGCTTCCATGTAATTGAAATTATAGGTATTCTTCTTTTTTAGTGTAATCACATGACTTCATATGTCTGTTAATCCTGCTTTTCCTGAATCCCATTATGTCCCATTATGATAAGTTGGGGGTTTTTTTGTCTTGTTTTGTTTTGTTTTTTTGGTAATGGAGATTGAATTCATGACCTTGCGCTTTGCCAGGAGGTGCTTATGCCACTGAGCTAAATCCCTGGCCCCTGTTTTTACATTTTTTTTTTTTTTTTTTTTTTTTTGTCTTTTTCATTTTTACGGGTACCAGGGATCGAACTCACGACCTCCTGCTTGCAAGGCAGGTGCTTATGCCACTGAGCTAAATCCCCAGCCCCTGTTTTTACATTTTTTAAAAAGTTGGTTTGGTTTGGTTTGGTGTTTTACTTTTTTTCTTTGACACACTCTGTAGGCCAGGAGTCTGTTTGGTTTTAAGTATTTGTGAATTTTCCATTTTCATCATGATACAGATTTCCAGTTTCATACTACTATGGTTAGAAAAGACATTCCATATGATTTCACTCTTAATTTTGTCTAACATATGACCTAGTTTGGGAATATAATGTGTTCTTAAGAAAAATACCTATTATTTCAGTTATATTGACTAATATTCTGATTTTGTTCTTTTTTCCTTTTCAGTATTGTAAGATTGCTTTTCTTATCACTATTTTGACCTTTAGAGAACATCTTTTACCCATTCTTTTAAGGAATGCTTGCTGTTGACAAATTCTTTTAATTTACTTTTATCTGGAATGTGATATCTTTTTTATTCCTGAAAAGTATTTTCACTAGGTAGAACAATCCAGGTTGACATAATTTGATAAAGTCTGAGAAGTTACCCTCAAGAATAATTTATCATTTTTTTCTATTTTCAAATTTTTCTCTTTGTCATTTTCAAAGGCTCATTTATGATCTATCTTACTGTGAATTTCTTTAGATTTTCTCTGTTGGGGTTCATTCAGCTTCTTGAATCTGTAGGATTAAGTCTCTCGCTGAATTGGAGCAGTCTTTTGTTATTTTCCACAGACCCCTGAAGTTTTGTTCACTTTATCCTGTTTTGATCATCTCCAAGTACTGCACGTAATTAAGAAAGATGAGCTTCAAAAAGCATTTTGTTCATTTAACTTAAGATAACGTAGTATCTGTCCCTGCAACCCATCATTGCATTTTTTTAGTGCTTCTGTCATGTAGAGAAAGATCTGGGGCAATAGGTGTTAACTAGTTCTTAAAAAGCTGTTGGCATAACTGACAAAATCCACAAAAAGAGATAGTTAATCTGAGAAGCAGCCAGCCACACACCTGCAAACCCACCAGTCATTTTCAGAGACCAATAACCTGCATGGACTGGGACAAGCAGCCAGCCAAGCCCCCATGTTCCTGCTGCCATCAGGGGAATCTCAGTGTAGTTACACATATCTTGAGAAACCTGCCTCACACCCCACCACCTCCCTGGGAACCTAGATTAAAAGAAACTAAGATGCCTGGACCATTTCCCTACAAGATGAAGGAGCAAAAGGCAATCTCAGACCTTCAGTACACACAGCACAAGTCTAGGAGACATACACTGGAAGTTGCATACCTGAAATTTTGGAAAGAATAGCAACTGAAGTAAAGAAACACTTCGTGAGGCTGTAAAAGTAATCAGATCAGAAATAATATCTCAGATAAATGAAAAAATGACAAACATAATTAAATTATTGCTTACCATATCTAAAGAAGACTTAGATTAAAAAGAGGAGCATAGGAACATGCTGAACCTTGAATGAACAATATTGGAAAGAATTACAATGCATGAAACAGATTCAAAGAGATTCAGAAAATTAAAAACTCCATTGATAGCTGGCAAAACCACCTGAAAGAAACTGAAGATAGACTTTCAGACCTTGAAGTCAGGATTGCGGCTAGCGATCCTGAAAGACATCTCAAAAATAACAAGGAATCAGAAATAACAATTCAACAGCTGTTGCACAAAGATAGCACAAAGAAAATAATTTAAGAGTGATAGGTGTCAGTGAAAAAGCAGAGATTGACACAAATGATATAAAAAGACTATTCACAGAAATAATAGCAGAAAACTTTCCAAGAATGTGAGGCATATGGAAACCCATCTAGTCATAACCAAAATAAATCTACACCTAGACATAATAATTAAGGTCCCAGAAATTCAACACAAGAGCAAAATATTAAAGGCTGTTAGAGAAAAGAAACTGATCCCATATAAAGGGAAACCAATCACAGTCCCAGCAAACTTCTTATCACAAACCGTTAAGTCAAGGAGAGCTTGGAGGGAAGTGTTTCAAGTCTTGAAAGAAAACAACTTCCAACCTAGATTGATGTCTCCCACAAAACTATCTTTCAAAATTAATGGAGAAATAAGATACTTCAATAATAAAGAACAACTGAAGGAATTCATGACTACTAAGCCAACCCTATGAAAAGTGCTATAGGATATTCTAAAGAAAGATAAAGATGATCATAGTTCGAAGAATAGTAGCAGGGAGGATCACTAAGCAGTCCTGGAGATTGAACAGAGTTGAAAATATGGGACTAACAGCAGGAGGATAGCAAGGCAGAAATGAGTCAGTGCATCTCAATCATCACCATTAATGTAGATAACCTCAATTCACCAATAAAAAGAAACATGGGCAGAATGGATCAAAAGACAGGATCCATCAAAACATTGTAGGCAAGACACACATTTAACTCAAAAGGAAATTCATGGACTGAAGGTCAGAGTAGAGAAGACAATGCTTCATGTGATGAAGACCCCTAAAAAAGCATGGACAACTTACTCATCAACCACAGAATGAATAAGAAAGATATGGTATTTTTGTACAATGAAAAGCTACTCAGCTATAAAGAAAGATAATATCAAGACTTTTGTAGGTAAATGGATGCAACCTGAGATCATATTCATGAATGAAATAGTGCAGACCCCATGCATGAACATCATGTTGTGTCCCTATATAAAAAATTGAAAGAATTGGTGGGATCCAAAATGCACAGTAGATATCGTGAAAATGAAAGGGAAGAAACATCTAAAAAGGGAAGATGATAGCCATTGTTAATTTCCTAATACCTTGTTTTGAAGTCCTATATAGTTTTCACTGTTTTATTTTGGTTTGGTTTCATTCTGTTTTGTTTTACTTGATTTTATAGTGGCTGGTGGTATGGGTAGCTGTTTTGATGAAAACAAATATATTATGGTAGCCATTGTTAATTTCTTATTTTATCTTGTTTTGAAGTTCTGTGTCACTTTCATTGTTTTGTTTTGATTGGTTTTACTGTTTTGATTTATTTGATTTTATTATGTCTGATGGTATGAGCAGCTATTTTGAAGTTAACAAAATATTTTGTGATAGCCATTGTTGATTTCCTATTATCTTGTTTTGAAGTCCTGTATTGCTTTCATTGTTTTGTTTTGATTGGTTTTATTCTATTTTGATTTGTTTGATTTTATTATGTTGATGGTAACGGCAGCTCTTTTGAAGATAACAAGAGGCATTATGGTAGCCACTACTGACTTACTATTATCTTGCTTTGAAGTCCTGTATCACATTCATTGTTTTGATTGACTTTATTCTGTTTTATTTTGTTTGGTTTTATTCTCTTTAAAATAAAATCTTAAAAAGAGAGATAGATAACCTGTAATACTTAGTTTTGCAATCTATGCCTCCCTGTATGTGCATTGTCATTTGATTTTATGTGTATGTGGCGGGAAGGAGAATTGTCTGACAGTTGAACACAGGGCTCATATAGACTAGATTCTACCACTGACCTTTGTGGTGTGTGTATGTGTGTGTGTTCTGTGTGTACTGTTTCTGATTTGTTCTACTATCTCTGACATCTTTATATGTTGAAGATACCATTAGTATATTGTCTTTTCTAGCTGAGAAAATAAATGCATGTTTGAAGTTCCTGTCATTTGCCTTCAACCTATTCCCATTTTTGTTGTCTTCATCTATCTAATCAACAACTAAAAATTTTTTTAAATGACATACATGCCATATTATTGAATAGAGTTGTGATTGTATTTTTTTATTTTCTCCCTCCGCAGGAATAAATGAAGAAGAGGAGAAGAAAAAAGAAAAAAGTAAAGAGAAAATCAAATTGAAAAAGAAAAGGAAAAGGTACTTATAAAATAGCATTTTATTTAAAATAAAGTAGAATTGTGAGTACAGGAAGCATTCTAAAATTTTTTCATGTATAGTCCATTTAATTTAATCTTAATTATGTTCTTATAGAAGGTAAATGTTGTTTCACTAAAATAGCAAAGTCCTTCATGTTAGTAATCAAAAACAAAATCAACATTCAACCACCTTAAATTTTATTTTTGAATACTGTAAATCAAGGTACAACATCCCCTCTTCTTTTTTTTTCAGTATCCTATTTATTTCTATTCTAGATATTCACATTTTAGAGCAGTAGCTAAGCTTTTAATTGGACCCATCTAAGTCAACACATTTTGTTGTCCAATATATGAAGTTGGAGGAGAAATATGTATATTCTTATATTACTGTGGCTAAGAAATTAATTTAATTTATTAATGAAATTTAGTGTAATTTGTTAAGCTAAAAATCCCTTCTGGTTTTCAGAATCTTTGATCAGCCACCTGTGAATTTTTACTGTTAACTCTCTTAACAACTAGTTAAAGAAGCCATCAAAAATTATAGGAGGTGACTTCCCTGGTTAATATGGGAATAATTGTACATAAATAGACATTTTTAAAGTACTTGGCTATTGTAGATCTGGTTTAGAGCCAGTTGTATCACAGATCAAGTTCCATACATTAGATGTTGTTGCTTTGTAGCTTTTATGAAGTATTCAACTACATACGTTTTAAAACTTGAGATATTTTGTAAATTGGAATAGTTAGAACACTGTCAGGAGTTGAGAGTTAAATAATAGTCTCTAACATAAAAACTGGTAAGAACATAGAGCTCAGGATTTCTGATTTAGTGCATTGCTGAATTATTTGTGCTAAACAGCATGATGGATTGCTTATAGGAAACATGATGTTATGTATTTTCTTCCAAGTTCTGATATACCAGTTTTATAGTAAGAGATTATTTATTTGGTCCTGTAACTTGGGCCTCACAGCTCTTAGACAAAGCCTGAAATTAAATGAACTTGTCCATGTAAAGGTAATGCCATCTAATAATGTGCTATATTACAGCCTAAAATATTGCCTTAAAAATGAAAATCTAGGATCAAAAATACAGAAAAAAGTACAGACAGAGAAGCAGCGCTAGGCAGAATCTAGAGTTCAAGTAAAAGGTACTCCTTAAAACAGCAAAGCAACCTAGGCACCTTAGTATGTGCTTGTAATCTCACCACTCTGGGATGCTGAGGCAGGAGGATAATGCGTTGAAATCCAGTCTGGGCAAATTAGCAACTTATCAAAAGGCTGTCTCAAAATGAAAAATTTAAAAATGTTCAAGGAAGGGCGATGTAGTCCTGGTTTCAATCTCCAACAGTGCCAAAAAAAATAACAACAACAAAAAACCATAGACAACATTTGACAATAGCAGAGCTGAAGAGGAAGTCAGAGAATATATGAGATAGCAGGTAGTCAGAAGTCTGTAAAAGCAGACAGATCAAATGGAGAAAAAGATACAATACTCCAGAAAGGAGGGCAACTCAGAGCTGGGAAATACACAGCTCACTCTGCAGACATGAGATCCCTTGAGACCACATAGTCTCATTCATTTCTTTGGCACCTGCCTTATGTCCATCTTAAGATTTCTGGGTTTGAGTTTTAACTCCTAATATTTAGATCGTTGAACTGACTTTTAAGATGCCAGTTTTATTTTCAATTAACACAGTTTCTGTCTTTTCACATGTATTTTGGATTTGGGTAGAGGTTAAATATTACTCACCTCTTTCATGTAAAATCTGAAATATTGGCTTGCTTTTTTAAAAATTTCATTTTTTTCAATATCAAGGAAAGTAATGTATGTTTTTGCCCTGACTGCATATTAGAGGCCTATTTCAAAACTAAATTACAATGATAAATCATCCTTATTCATGTCTGTATTCATCTAAAAGCATCATTTCTGTAACTAGTGAAAATTATTTGATATTGCAAGTGTTCATTTATGTCACTGCATCTAGGGTGCAGATGACTTGAAAAATCAAAGGAATTATAAATGTGCTTTTTTTCATTAATGTTCAGCTTTTTCCATCTATACCAATGTATAATTATAGCTTCTTTATATGTATGTATAATTATATCCTTTTGTGGCACTTTTAAGAATATGCTAGCAGGTTATTATAAGCAAGTGAAATATATACATTAAAGCTTAATGACTACCACTTTGCCTTACAAGATTTTGAAGGATAGCACAACTTGGAAAACTGAAAATCACAGAAAAATAATGTCATCCTTACTGAATTTAAAACTCCTTACTAAAGTTGAGCAGAATAGAGAGATTAGTCTTTTCATTTTCTGTGCCTAGTATCAAAAATTCTGAATTCAGCATTTTAAGAAAATAAAATATAAACATTGAGTTTATGTTTATATCCCTTCCTTACTCCAGGAAGAATTTAAAGCAACCCAAATCCTCTTTAAATTTACCTAAAAGCTCTAAATACAAGTTTCAGCCATGTCTTATATTGCCCATAGGTCTTATTCCAGTTCCACTGAAGAAGACTCTTCTAAACAAAAGAAACAAAAATATCAGAAGAAAGAAAAGAAAAAAGAAAAAAAGAACAAATCAAAAAAAGGGAAACATCACAAAAAAGAAAAAAAGAAGAAAAAAAAGGAAAAGCATTCTTCTACCCCTAATCGTTCTGAAATCACAAAAAAGTAAATTTAAAATGTCATCTTTAAAAAGTGTTCCTCCTTGGATTTTGCTATATAATTGATGCTTTGCAGTAAACCCCAGCATTTTCCATACAGACATTTTTTCATTGGTGGGACCATTATCCCTCTGGCTGTATGTGTTTAAATAAGTCTTGTTACTTGATAGCCATGCCCCAAGTATAGATATTTGTAAATACAGAGCACACTATTTTTGGTATTTTGTATCTCTGTTTGGCTAGTGTTTTTACTTCATAAATGGCCCTTGTAGAGTCAACACAAATAATCTACTTAATGGTTAATGAATATTCCTCAATCAAGTGTCCACCTGTCAGTGATGAAGCTAGGCAGGGGGTAATGATTTGTTATTGACATTGAAAAATTAAACAGCTTTATCTACTGGGATATAATATACAAAGATGATGAAATTCTTTACTCTGGTATTTACTCTAGGCTTTTCAAAGTATAGTAAATGAAATTGGTTTATTGGTCTTGAGTAGTACTTTTTAAATGAATGGTATCTGCAGGAAGATGATAATAAAATATTTATAACAAAGTTTCATTGCTTTATGAAATGTAGACTTTCTAGTACCTGGCTCCTTTTTTTCCCCCAGTAACAGTTAAAATGTTTTTTCCTTGTTTAGGGACTAGTTCAACCTTTAAGAAAGTCTGGCAGAGATGATGCTATGTTGGTCAAAAATTTTAGGGTAGACTCCTGGGTATTACAAATGTGCCATATTGGCATGTCTTGCAGAGATACCTCAAAACAGCCAAATTTGCATTAGAACTGATATTTATTGTATTTAGTATATAAACATTATGAACCATATGTCTATGAGTAATGTGGAAAATTTTTGTAAATATTAGCACATATATCTTTTGTCTGAAATGACTTACAGTTTTGAAGCAAGTTTCACACTGATTTTCCGCTTTCGTGAATAACAAGTTTGAGGTGTTTCCCTCTTTTACATCAGTCACAAGTATCAGTAAGAATAAAAAAAAATTTAGAATTAAAAATTCTATACTTTTTAAAATTTAAAAACCAGGGAGTTACATCATGAAAGCCTTTGTAAAACAATGGAAAGTTTTTGAGAAAGCATTTTCATATGCTTTCTGGTAGATATGTTTCTGACATTTTTAATTTCATAGTGATAATGTTACTTAATTTCTTTAATGCTTAGTATTCCTGATACACAGTAAGTTAAATATTTATATTGTAGTAACATTGAAACTCACCCTATTATCATGGGAAAGCACCAAAGATCCCAAGTAAGCTCACTGTGGTGCACTTAGAAGTTTTCATGTTGGTAACGTACAGACATGGCTGCAGCTGAATACATGATGATGAAATCAGCTGGGTTCACTTAACCTCATGGGCTGGAAGCACTTACTGAGTCTTCCTTCAGGGGCACCCTAGCCAGCATGCCCATACTCAAAACTCCAGGGAAGCTGCACACACAGCCCTGCCCTGGTGTTTGAGCCTCAGACACCTTCATACCTCCAGCTTTTCCATGACCTCATTTATTCACTTGGTTCCTTCAAAAAGAAACTGTTGTTTAAAGAGTTCAGTCAACAGAAAAACACAAAACTATTAGATTTTTTAAGGGTCTGTTTTGCCTTCACTATTCTTCAGATGAAAATTCAGTTCTTTAGTATTAATGACTTTTCAAGTTGGTAAAAAAGAAAAAGCCTTTTTAAAAATGTTTAATAGATACTACATACAAAAGGATGGCCTCATCCCACAGTGTATGTAATATGGGAGTAATTGCAGTACAGTTAATCAAGTTATTTGTTTTACTTCTATTAATTGTAAAGATTATAAATTAACGTTTCTTTTCTGAACAGTGACAGAACTTATGATTCAGAAGTTATATAAAAGTCAGCCCTCATTAACTAATATACTATAGAAAATAAAAGATTTTAATAGCTCTAATTTTCCCCAGAAATAATCTTATATTCTTGATTTCCCATATTAGCATAGTTTATAAAATATTTCATTTGAACAAAAGTTATTTTTTTTTACTACTTTTCTTCTGAGATGATCTTGCCTTTAGTGCAAATCTCAGTATTAAATTTTAGGGAGAAATTAACGAAATTTCATCCCAGGCAGTATGCAGCATTGTTCCTAGTAACAATCCAGAAGTCATGATCATTCTCACTAGGTAATCCAACCCCCATAGAATAACCCTATATAGCCCTCAGTAAAGTCATCTAGCTTTTTTGGGCTTTGGTGTCTTTTACCTATAAGCAGTTGTACTAAATTATCTCTGACATTACATCTAATCTTCAACGTATATTATTGCCAATATTTTAGTAAAATTCAAGTAATACTTTAGAAATTGTTATAGATACACAGCTAGTGTTCTATAACAGTAAAAGTTAAATTTATTAATTATTAAACATATCAACTTTTTAAAACAGATAAAGGATGCTAGATTTGCTTTTTTGTGACCACCCAATGTATGCCATTTTCATTAGATGCAGACAATTTAAATTTACATTTGTATCTGTAACCATATTATCTGAATACTTTGAGACTGTTGTTTTTAGGTGATAGACTTACAGGTCCAGCAGTTTCTCCATTTTTTTTTCTCCATATCATCTGTTGACTAAAATCTCTCAAGCATATTTTTAGTTCTTCACATTTAATATATCTTCATTTACGTCTTTAGGTCCCAGAAGCCAAGGCATCAATTACTAAGAAGTAAAATAACTATATGTGTCTGTATTTGCTGTACTATCTAAAATCATATAACTTCAGGTTACCTTAGGCACCAGAGTTATTAATGTTTATTAAAATGACATTGAGTCATCTCTTCAACAAATATTGAGTACCAACCATGGCAAATACTATGGTGCTATGTAGTGAGGAGAGTTCTAAGTAAGATACATTTGCTTCCCATATGGAGTTGACAGTCTGGTTGGTATGAGAAACACTAAATCACACCATTATTAAACAGTGTCAGGGCTGGGGATTTAGCTCAGCGGCATAAGCACCTGCCTTGTAAGCAGGCAGTCGTGAGTTCAATCCCTGGTACCGATAAAAAAAAAAAAATACCTGATTAAACAGTGTCAATAATTCAAACATGGCCTAATAGAAATACAGACGGGTATCTAACCTATTTGGAGAAATTAAAAGAAACCACCTAGAGAAAGTAATGCCTGAATTTCATTTTGATTGAAGACAAGGGAGACATGGTTAGGATGGATACTGTGAACAAAATCACATACAAAATTATATATGCGTGTAGGAATTATAAGCTATCTCATTTTGCTATTGTGTCATATGTTAAACAGGAGTGTTAAGAATTAAGAGAAATATTTTAGATTCTTGGGTTCAAGAAAAGATCTTGTGTTCCATGATTAGAAGTTTTGACTTTAATTTATTAGTGGTGAGACATTATTAAAGAGTTTCAAAGAAGGAAATGACCATTACTGGGATTTGGTTTTATCTATTTTATAAACCTATTGCAGTTTTTTAAAAGATGGTGTTGCTCTCATTAAAAGGCCCTGTAAAATAGCAGATGATTCTTCTGTGTTCCAATATTTGTATTTTTCTACACTCACCTTGCTTTCCAAGATCTATTTTACCAAAAATTATATAGTGACTTAAATTACCTAAAAACATAAAGTTCAATTGTATCCTTTATCAGACCAATTCTCAGTATTAAGTATCTAAGCATTTTTTGAAAATTTTTAAAATTATAGTTTATTTTTGAAAGGCTTAAACCAAATTATATCTTTGTTTTTGTTAGATCCAAGTAAATAATCAAAATATTTTTCATTCATAGGCTATGCCATAAGTTGATAAAGCATCTTGTCTTTAATATTTTGTCCTAATTTGTAAAGTACAATTACATAAAATTTACAGAGAAAGATGCCAGCCAGTCCACCGGACGAGCCCTGGGGCTCTTCCTCAGGTAACCTACTGATAAGCTATCTCAGCAGGTAGTCAGCCAGGCAGACCCTTCTGATCCTAGCGCTGGGAGGCAGACCTGGGCTATTGTCCAAGTACAGTATATTTCTTATACCATTGTGACAGTAATCCTAGCTGACATGCCCACACTCTTCGGACCTCACCTATTTCCTCTCAGCTCCTTTGAAAATACACAGAGTAGCAGAGAATTGGTGTCATCCATCCAGACCCAGGCTCTATTTGCCTGATCTATGGGTGATGAGGAGTCTTGGGGACCAGGAGCATTTTGCTGACCTTGAGTCAGTGTTTCTTGCTCGTGTCCTGAATGACATATGCCCTTGCCTTTGAGCATCAAGTAAACCCACAACAGTGCCTTCACTTTCTCAACTAGATTTTCACCTGAGACAGTAAAATAATATATTACTTCCTGTATATCCAATTTTCTGGGATATTTTAAAAATCAATGCTATATAAAAATTTTTCACAAAAGATCTATGAGCTTTCAAAAAAGAAAAATCTTTTGATTTTATGACCTCACGTCACTTTTATAAAGGAAAAGTCTTTCATATACATTCTAAGCAATTTTAATATTTAAACCTTGGCAAATATGTTCTTTTTGAATGTGAAATCCAAGTGAAGCAGTAGGATGTTGTGATAATGATGAGGGACTCTGCTTTCAATATAACTACATGTGGTCATTTAATTTTAAGCAGCAACTGTGGCAGGCAGTGCAAAGTTGAAAGAACATTTTTATCATCAAAGAAACTTCCTTAAGACAGTACTGGTCTAGAAGACATCCATGGTTGTTCTAAAAATTTTGACAGCCTAATGATGAAAAGTTTCTAACTCCAAGCTTTGCATGCCCAAGGACAATAGGCATCATTTTTTGTTTTGTTTTTGTCTTATTTTTGTTTGTTTTTTTCATACCAGACCAGAGAAGCTATATTCAGGCTATTTTGGAAGACTAGTCTTCTGACTACACATTACTATACAAAGCAGCAAATGTGTGTAGTAGAGCTGGCTTAAAAATAGTCCTTTTTTCTATTGAATTCCATCATAAAACCAGGTCTGTGTTCTTGTAACAGAAATCACATTTATGAATAAAACACTTAAAACTGATAATTTGCAGAAACTAGCTTTGTTTCTAGATGTCTAGGTGGTATTAATATGATAGTAATAGGTTAAAACCAGAGAACTGGATGGCTTTATAACTTTCATTACAGGGATGCTTAGGGAAATTTATCAGTAAAGGATTTCTATTATGGCTGTCCCTTGAAATATAGAAAATACTGTACAGATTTTACTGTGTGATTTTTTTTGATACTGGATATTAACTTTTATGATGGTAATATTGGGTCCCCAAAAAATCCTCAAAAAAGGTATAGCTGATTTTAAGACATTTAAGAATGTGTCACCTCTTGTTTATAAGACACCCCTGAGACTTACCTATCCAGTACCATCCTCTCATACAGAAATAATTCCCTGTATCAAAAAAATTGTGAAACGTGGAATTGTGATGTAAACTTTTCATTGTTTCTCATTAAGATAGGTTTACTTATCTGTGCAATTGATAAATTTCTTCTGAAAATTAATATAATTTATGAAATGCAGAAACATCAAATAAAAGTAAATCTATGCATGTGAAAAATATCAAAATTTAGTAAGTGTTCAAATGAAATTAGCCAATCAGAAATGCAGCTGTTTCTTTTTTGGGTGTGGAAAATATTTGAAATGCAAAATACAAACTGTGGCTTGAAATGCATTCTTTATTTTTGTTGCTCCAGCTCTCCTGTGAGCTTTTAAAACACAAGATTTTTCAACTAGTAAACAATATTGATTTGTGCTGTATCCATTCCTTTGTCTTGAATTATATCTTCAGCCTCATAGGATGTTTCATTTGTTGAATTTGATGCTGCATTTGAATTGAGGGCTTTGGTTTTCCTATTTAAGTTGCCTGCAAATACAAAAAATAAAAAGTTTGAAATTATACTATAGAATTTGACTTTTAAAAATGTGTGCTTAAATCAATTTTTCTAACAATTTTCAAAGTATGATCTGTAAATGCTAGGTAGATGAGTCAGAAATGAGTAATTTGCAGAACTCCACAAGGGAAATATTTAGTCATAGGTATGAAACTTTCATTTCCATACTTACCTTTCTTTCTGCATAGTTGTGTGAGGAAACCAGACATTTTGACGAGGAGGTAACAACTGCTGGATCTCTTAATAAAATATGTAAACTGTCCCTTGCAGAAACTGAAGAAACTGCATTAAAGCCAATCATAATAATTTGCAACAATCGTAAGTCTTTGCCATCACAACCAGTTTAGATCTAATTTTTTAAAAGGACACATTTGTGCCACAGTCCTATTCACACACACCATGTAAACATGAGACCAAATGATCAGAAACTTGGCTCACTAAAAAGAAATTGTTATTTGATAAAGTTTTAAAAAATTATATAATTGTGGAAATCGTGTATCATTTTACCAACATATAAAATTTTAGATACATTTTTAAAATATAAATAAGTAAAAAGTAGTGGAAAAAAGACATCACTAATGACTTCTGTCCAGCTCACCCGCATATCTGACCTAAAAGCATTTAGCTTAGTTCTTTCTTTGGCTTCCAGGTGCTACCCTCCTTTGATCCCTCCTACCTACCTCTCCTTTCCTGCTCTCAGTTTCTCTTGCCAGTTTCTTTTCTTTTCCCAGATCTCATTGATTTAATAGTGCCTCAGAGCTCAAGTACTGATTCCTGACATTGTCTCACTCCCTAATTAAGTTAATTTCAATTCCATACTTTATTGTTGTGTTTTTTCAAGATGTGCAACCAAACTCAGGGGTTTACACGTATTAGTACTGTACCTCTGAGCTACACCCCTGGCTCTTATTTTTAATTTTGAGACAGTGTGTTGCTAAGATGCACTTGCCATCTTCCTACTCAGCTTTATGCATATCTGATATTATAGGTATGTACCCCCATGGTTTTAATACCATCTCAATGCTAATGACACCTAGATGCATTTCTCCAGTCCAGAGCTCTTCTAAATTCCAAAATTTCAACATCTAGTTGACATCTCCATTTAGATATTTAATAGAAATATCCAATTTAATTCAAAACAAAGTTGTGTTATTCCCAGAAGAGCCTCACCACTTGTAGTCTTACTACTAGAAACTCGGTATCTCCAGTTGTTACGGTCATCATTGACTTCTTTTCTCTCAACACCCTAATCCAATTCATCAGCAGCCCTGTTGACTATGTCTTTAAAATTCATCCAGAACCATTTCTCACCATCTTCACTATTACCACTATCCTCTTTTCAACTAATACTAGCAATCCTTTAAAAACCAGGCCAGATCATATCTCTGCTCAGAGCCTTCCATTTCACCCAAGTCTTCACCATGGTCCGTGTGGTCTCACACACATACTGCTAACCTCTCTGACTTCACCTCTTTCTATTTAATCCCTGGTTCACTCTAATTTTTGATTAAAGATATCAGGCATGTTCAATCCACACAAATATTTCAGACTCAATCTTGTTTGGCATGTTCTCCCAGATGACTTATACAACTCTCTTGTCTCCAAGTCCTTTCTCAAACGTCACCATTTGAATTGGACCTATCCCAAACACTTTAAAATTGAAATCTACATATTCTTCATCTCTAACCTCTTCTGCCCTCTATTTTTCTCATGGTATCTATTATCTAATGTAATTAGCCTGTTTACTATGCTGGTTACTTACTACATATCTCTCTTCAACAAAATGTTAGTAACACACCAAGAGATTTTGATTATTTTGTTCATTTCTAGACATTAATGAATATAGAAAAATATACATACCTAGCATCCAATAAATACTTGTTGAGTGAAATTAATGAATTTAAATACTATATAAGATTTTAAAATCTTTAAAATTGTGAGTGGCAAACAACAGAATTAAAAGCCAACTGGGGAAAATGTTTAAAACAAGTGTTTCATGTCTATCATAATGTCTAGATTTTTAAAAGCGAATTTGTTGTAGGCACGACATTTTCCAGCTCGAAAAATAGCCTTTTGCCCCATCGGTAAGCAAAGCTGTTCACAATAAATATAATAGAGAAAACTAGCATGAAAATGTTAGAGATTAAATAAATCTTTACTGTTTTTACAAAGGTATGTGGCTGAGAAAATATACTACCTTCAAATTTAACTGCTAAACTACTAATAATGGAATGTATTACTTATAGGGACCCTTGAAACCATTCTTCATATAACATTTAAAAAGCAAATTAAGATGTTTATAGGTTATTTTTCACTTAGCACTGGTTTTATACTTCAGTATCATAGGCAAAGATAAAAGGTCAAAGATATAAGAAATTAATTTTATAATTCTGAGTAATATTTGCATCTCATACTAGCATTTATGTAAAATCTAAATGTTTAATATTCAATTAGAATTGCTAAACTAGTTATTTTGAGGCTCTAAGTTGCCTCTTCTCCTAGTTGTAATTTTCATTCTGTATTTATCTGGCAACAATTGAAGGAATTTAAATTGTCTACTGCCCTCTGAGGTGTGAAGGTTTTCAAAATGTACCCCAGAATTACAGACTTTACTTCATCTAGAACTGGTAAAGACTTATTCCCAGTACTTGACTCATTCTCTCACTCAGACTTCTAACCAGTTTAGATACAAAGCTATGACTTGCATTGGCTTCTTAGCCCAAAAATTTGCCTAATGAAAGCACTTTGTTATGCAAACAAGAAAAGCTCTATTTTAAGCACACTTTCTAGTGTTCACTCCTTCTCTTCAGATGATCATAATCTAAAAGTGCTTTAATGGCTTCCCATCCAGTAGATTGGGTTGAATGGACACACACACACACAGTGAGTGGAGCTGCAGTGATATCAGAGTGCAGGGTATAGCTCTTTGGCAGAACTTCTTTAAAAAGGAGCGTCCCAGCAATGTCTATTTTTCCTAGTTTCCATTTAATAAAATAGAACTAATTCCTTAACCAACAAAGTAGAGATAAAAGCAGCTGCCTCTTTTTTTCAAGGTTACCACATGAATTCAATTAAAAAAAAAGTTCTGTAATACCATGAACTCCCAAGGCATTTGTTACACTAAATAGTTTTGTTATTCGATTCTTTAGTTGAGCCCAAATCAGCAAGGCCCAACATGACAGGTCTTTCCTTGATTGATTGACAGTTCTCCTTGCAGTTTGCTTCCCATTTCATGTAGATATAAATATACATAAATAAATATATTTGGGGGGGGCCTAGTCATCATATGTAAATCTCAAGCTTCCATTAATACTATATCTCCCAGACTGGCATTTAAATCAAAGTTTTGGCTTTAGGCCAAATTTAAATTAATTTATCAATCTTTCTACCTTTCCTCATCATCTGTGCCATACTTTACAGATCTGCTTACCCTATAAATAATCTGAACTCTGTTCCTGACTGTCTATTGATTCATTGGCTGGCTGATTAATCAACTGATTGATTTTAATAAGTAAGTAGGTACTAGCAATCAAATTCAGGGCCTTTTTATTGACCTATGTCCCAAATTCAATTTTTAAATTTTTTATTATTTATTTTGAGACAGAGTTAAGCTACTTGGGCTCAAAGTGCCATTGTATATTTTTAAAACTAGTACGTATTTGCTGTACATAACGCTTACATTTATCTTAGGGAGTAGGTACATGCATACACAGCTTGAATCTTTTTATCTTTTTAACCCCCTACCCATTTTCCTCCTCTGTCTCTATATCCCCTAGCCCCATTTTCATTATTTTTGTTACCATTTTTTATTTCATGTTCACAACAATTAATGTTTATTGTGGCTATTCAGTACAAGTACCTGACATATCTCCAATGATTTTACTTTCCCTTCCCCTCTGTCCTTGTCTTCAGCCTTGGTCCTCTGGACCCCTTTCTCATTTGCAAAAGATCTATCTGCCTATCTCCTTCTATCACTCCTTGTTTTGTTCTTTATTTCTACTTTGCCTTACTCAAATGAGAGACACTTCATGATATTTAAGCTGTATATCGGATTTATTTCACTTTATATTTTCCAGGTGTATCTATTTTCCCACAAAAAACTCAAATTTATCTTTCTTTGCATTGTGTAGAGATAACACAGTTTTTAGAGCTAAAGACATCATCTTACAACAGTACATCAATACCGATGTTTATAGCACCAGAATTCATAATAGCTAAATTCTGTAAGCAGCCTGTACACTCATCAGCAGATAAATGGATTTAAAAATGTGTCTATGCATAATGCAACACTACTCAACTATAAAGAAGAATAAATTTGAAACACCATTTAAAAATATCGGAGAATGTTGGGGACTTCTGAAAGCCTTTATCTCTTTGCTATCCAGCAGAGATGTACCATGCTTCTGTGCCATTATGTGGCATATCCTCTGCTTTCTGTGTTACCATTCTGAAGTCCTGTACCAGCTTCCGACTACTAATCTAGCTGGGCCATTCTTGGAAAAAGTCTCAAATCTGTGGCCTGAAAGTGTTTTGGTTTTGTTTTGTTTTGTTCTGTTTTTATTTTAAAAGGATATTTTCCCTTTGATTTTAATATTATGCACAGGACTGGGTGGCCAAATGAGCAAAACTTTCCCAGTGACCTACTGGGCTGTTTGTTGACCTCTTCTTGTTTCAGCGAACTGTCTTTTCCCTCAAATACTTACAGGTTTCTCATATAAATACAAGTTTGAAAATTCACAAGGCCAAAATCTTTGACTTGCACATTTGCTTTTTGCACCCATCAGTGACTGGAGGCAGATCTATTGAGAACTTTTTCTTATTCTACTTTTTTCCAGAATTGGTCCTTTTCTGCAGCTGTAAGTTCTTCCGACCTGTGATATTATCATAACTTACAAGGAATTTAGCCAGTATTTTAAATGACTATTTCACAAGAAGAATGGCATCTATTTTACATCCTGGTTCCATCCTCAGTGAAGACCGCCTGACCCTGTGCCCTGCGCGGGGG